AGATCGGAACATTCGTTGGTCTTCCGCACTGAGTCGTTCATGCTCTTTGATATTGTCCTTGTCGTACACCTCTAGGTTGCTGTGGTGCGGCAATGTCTTGGTCTTCTTTCCATGTAGCTCAAGTAGCTCTACCATCTTCTTGATGTAGGAGCATCACCATGCCGGGCCACCTGCTCAGGATGGCAATTGAGATCAAGCTCATAGTCTTGTAGACATCGAGGTCGTTTGCCAGCTTCATAGTCTTGAAGTGCTCTTTCACCTTGTTCTCCTTGAAGACGTTGTAGTTCCACTCTTTCACGTCAAAGCTTTTGATGTAGTTCTGGCTTTGTGTGGCATTTGTGATCACCTGCTCTTTCTTTCTCTCATAGTGCTCCAAGCACACAGTCTCCTGCAAGGAGATCTTGACCGTGGCCTTCTTGATGTCCTGCTCGCTCTCTCTTCAAGTGAGTTCATGGTCGCCTCACTTGTGGCCACCATGATGTCCTCCTCATTCTCTTTCTCTTGTCTTTGGGACTCGAACCCAAAGCTTGCCACTTTCTTTTCTTCGTGAAGTCCAACTTCACCTGAGGACATGTCTTCTCTCTCTTCATTGCCCTGCGACTCGAACCCAAGGTCGCAGGTGTCGTGAGCTCCAAGCTCATCTTTTCTTTCTCCAGGTGAGTTCATAGGTGCCTCACCTTCATGCCAGCTCCTGCTTCTCCGGCTCGAACATGTCGAAGTGCTCCACATAGTCCACCAGGAAGATCGTAATGTTGATGTCCAGGATGTAGGCTGCTCAGCGCTCGATCTTGTACTCCAAGGCGTCGAGGATGTAGTTTCGAGCTCAAGTTCAAAGGTGGGCTCGTCGAATTGATGCCTTGATGCCCCGCTGTGATCATCTCGATGGGCTCAGTCCAGGTCATTGGGTCAAGAGCCAACCAATGACCTTCCATGGTCTTCATGGCCGTCATGGCCAACACCAAAGTCCACCATGGCTGCGCGCCCTGAGCCCTCATGCTCCTAAGACCAATCCTCGGGCTCCGCTACCATGTCAAACACAGTGGCGAACCTTTTCACCACGCTTGAACAGGCCGCTGCGGTAAGTAAACTTCTATGTCATCTTGACATGTCTGCATGCATGAGTGTCGTGCTCAACTCTGACAGACACTTTTAAGATCTCTTCACCGCTTTTTGCAAGACTTCAGGTTATTTTTTTGAATCTTGTGGTGCAGAATCAAAGTGGATGACTGGTGGAGGTGAAATTCACAAGACATTGTGTTTGTCCGCAGGTGACTGGCAGCTTTTGTGTTGTATTCGGTCACAAGGAGATTGACATGTACCGAAGGGCTTCCCAAACGGGCAGGTGGGCGACTGGCACTTCTACCTCGGCAGCGCCAAGGTTGATGCCAATGACGGTCGCTCTGAAGAGAGTACCTTATATCAACATCCGTTTGTAGATGGTTCGCACAAGGGTCACACAAATTTGCATTGATTTTTTTTGAATGTATTTGGACTGCTTGTTTCACAGAAATACCAGCCATTTCATTTCAATAAGGTAGAGCAGGATTTTCAAAGTCATAGATTCGATAAGACTCAACTCTGCAGTAAAGTCATGTCGAATAAAATTTCAAATCTCCAAAGGAATCTTTCCAGTGGGATCCCTGGTGATGGCACTTTATTTTGGGAATGACGGTTGCAACAATTTTAAGTTGTGTGCTGGTTGCATCAATGCTGGCTTTTGAATATGGTTTGGCGGGTGGGAATCTGAAGAGACGTGATAGTCTGCAAGTAGAATATAAAAGATGGACATGCATAAATGGATGATAAATGTGATTGCGTCGTTTGTTTGCATCGAATTGATAACGGTGAAGATTCCAAAGGTTTAAACGTATTTTTTTTGTAAAGTCTTCTTCCGTCGCAACAACAACAACAACAACAATGATTGTAGTTGTTTGATCTAGAATCTAGGCACTGTGCCTCAGCAGATTTGCCCCTTGGTTTGGGCTCAAGCCGGTTCTCATTGTGACTTGTGAGTCCCGCCTAAAGAGCAGCAAAGCCGGCATCATGCTTCGCCTTGTTGCATTCACTTTCTTACTTTCAACCGCTGCAGGTTCGTCCTGCTTTGAGTCTGATCCATCCTGTGCCGCCAAAGGACATGAGCTTTTGCAGAGACAGAAGGAGGTGTTGAAGATGGATGTGGATGTTGAGACCAACCTGATGACTTTTGAAGAGTTTGAAGCCAGGGTGAAGGATTCATACGCCACAGGCCAGAAAAGGTTGTCGAGGGCCAAGTTGTTAGTGGAGAAGGATTTCAAGAGCTTCCACCAGTCTGCTTACCGTGTCTTTGTGAAAGATGAGAGCTGCAAGGAAAATGTGGCCAACGCCATCCATCAGTTTGCCAAGAGAACTGGCCTCAATGATGAGCTGAACAGTAGTGAGCTGGCAGCCCTGTCGGCCCGTGTCATGGAAGAGATGGAGATCTTCTGCAAGCACGACCACATCGAGAACATCACGGATCAGCATCTGCAGGCTGAGGTCTTCATGAAGGACTTCCTTGAGACTTTGAGTCATGAGCAGCCCTTGATGACCGAGCGTTTGTTCGAAGCTCTTGCGGCAGGGACTGGGGACAACTATACTTTGACCTTCCCTGATTGGCTGTTGAACTTCACCATGAGGGACTTGCACGATCGCACAGGCCGAGAAAACCTGGAGAACGCGACCCATGGCTTGCTGTTGACCCAAACCATCAGCTACACGGACAAGATGAAGAAACGCAGTTTGCCAGCCAGTTTTGATTCCCGCGCTCATTGGTCCGCCTGTAGTGAAGTCATTGGTCGCATCCACAACCAAGGCACTTGCGGCAGCTGCTGGGCGTTCCTGGGTCGAAATCGTATGAAGAACAAGTCAAAAGCCACGTTTTTTTCCTTTTGATTTCGCATATTTTCCATTATTTTCCATTGTTCTTTCATATGATGTCCAGATTTTGATGTTCGCCACGTCACTTGACCAGTTGAAGTGCCCAGGTTTGGCTCCTTGAGCGCGGTGGACAGTCGTCTTTGCATCGCCACCGGTGGAATCTTCAGTGGAGCTAAGGCCCAACTCAGTCGTGGCTTTGCCACGAGTTGCTCCAAGCCGGGTGGGGGAGATGGCTGTTCTGGTGGTCTCTCCCGCTATGTCTTCAACTACTTGGCAGCCAATGGAATCCCCACGGGTGGAGATCAGGGATGCTCGCCTTATTTCGGACATGGCCAAGGCACTGAGCATTTCAGTGCCAGTAGCTCGGCGCCCGCATGCCCAACAGCTTGTGGCAACATGGCCTTCAGCAAAGCTTTGCACGCAGATACTTTCAAGCTAGGACTGGATCAGTTCATTGAGATCTACTCCTTGAATCATCCAATTCCCAGCTTGGTATACCAGTTGGCCAAGGAAGCCATTATGAGTGGTGGCCCCATCCCAGCTGGTATCAATGCAGACTCAGGGTTCATGATGTATTCTGGAGGTGTGTACACTCATGACTGTGCCTCTGGTCCAAATCATGAGGTCACGGCCATCGGCTGGGGCACAGATCATTGGATCGTTTTGAATTCCTGGGGTCCTGGCTGGGGCGAGTCTGGCAGTTTCCGTGTTGGATGGTGTGTGCTTACAGACTTCACCATCCCAAAGAACAGCTTGGCCGGCAGCAGTGCAGACTACGGCTTCCCCCTTGCAGGAAGCAGTCAAACGCCGGCTGACAGCTTGAACCCATCTGAGGTGTATCAGGCAGTGATCGACCGTTGGGTAGCTACTTCACCTACCACCAAAGACAAGGGCTGCCAGTGCACATCGTCCTGCGCAAACCATGACAACGATCCTGGTGGTGTGTGGTGCTTTACTGACACCGCTTGCCAAGGTACAAATTGGGGATACTGCTGGGGTCCCACAACAGGTGCACCAAGCCCAGCTCCGACCACCACAGCAACCACGACATCAACAACCAGCACCACCACAACCACCACCACAACCACCACCACAACCACCACCACAACTACCACCACAACTACCACAACCACTACCACCACTACCACCACCACCACAACAACCACCACCACTGGGGGATCTACTGCTGCGCACCCATGGAAAGTCACCAGCGGCCCGTGCACCATGGATGCATACGGCTGCATCATGAGCCCCAACTATAACAAGGACGCAGCTACCATGTACCCCAACCATGAGGGTTGTGATATCAGTGTGGTCGACGCAGCCAAGATGGAGGTGGAAGACTTCAACGTGGAAGGAGGCTACGACTTTTTGGTGGTGGATGGCACCAAGTTCAGTGGTTCATCCCAGCCACAGGGAGTGCAGCCCAAAACTGGGATCAGTTGGTCCTCAGACTACTCTGTGACGAAGACTGGCTGGAAGATTTGCCCCAAGGTAATTCCCCCTCCGCCTGTGCCGAATTCCAAGACCTCCAAAGGATGCGACTGCAAGGCTTCATGGTCCTACGGTGGTGTTTCTGCCAGTTTCTGTGACAACCCCGACAGTGATCCACGTGGTGTGTGGTGTGCGGTGGTGGATTCCTCTTGCCAAGGCTCATGGTGGGGTTATTGCTGATCCAGACGTCCTCTGCGCAAAGCCGTGACACCATAAAGAGCTGCGGGTCCACTTGGCATGGTGGAAGTTCATTGCTTGGAAATTTTTGCTTGCTTGTGACATCACAGGTTTCTGGCTTAACCACAATTCCATCATAAACAGCAGCAGGCTGTGGAAGTCCATGAATTCCTTCCTCAATTCGCAACATATCGGTTCACAGCTTCAGGACCTTTAAACATTTTGATGGACAATCAGATCTTGTTAATTCCAACTTGCCCATGACCAATCAGTCCCAATGACGCACAAAAGCTGTGATTCAACAAAAAACTGTTTGTGTTTCTTGGAAGCTTGGTCCATGTTGTGAACACTGTTGAGAACTCAAAATGCATCGTTTATTTTTTCCATCATTATTCTTAGTTTCTGTTTCTGTATTGTTTCATGCGTTTCTGCAAATGGATTGCTGTCAAAGGTGTTATTCATACTGGCATGGATTCGATTCTTCTTTTTTGAAGTGGTAGGAATGTCTGGGTACTGGTATTGATTTGGTACTATAAAATTAACGGTCCTATGTGGAAAAATCATGTGCATCACAACGACCTGCTGATCTGCCATGCCACGTCAAGGGGTCAGGCGGAAGCAGAGGGAACGTGCAGCTGCAAAGAAGGCATGCGGCATGCGGCAGTGAGATATGACCCCTCTGGAGCAGTGATTAGCGCCAGGTGCTTCAGAAGAATGCCAAGCCTCAGTCCACTGCAAATGACATATCAAAGCGTCGTTGGTGCCCTAGATAGTGTTGATATTGTAAACCTGCCTATGGAAACTTGCAGACACAGGTGGCGGCGCGTCTACAAAATGTCAACCAGCCGACATGGAGGCCTAGAATTGCTATGTTTGTTGTTTGCAAATACATTCCAATAGACTGTTGTAGGCTGCCTTGTCGTCAAGCAGCCGGCCAAACGAGAAGCTCTTTGAGTGGCTGGGACTGATTGCCGTTGCGTTTGCATTCCGTCAGAAGCAACACATTTCAGTTAATGTCAGTATTTTTCCTGCATGCGAGAAATGACAGGTTGGCAAATCGCCCATCAGTTTGTGTCAATGTTGGTGGTATGCCTTTGAAGGTGCCAAACTTTTCAATAGGTTGTTGCTGAAGTGCTGAAGCAAAGCGACAAAAAAGAGAGAGAGAGAGAGAGGGACAGAAAGAGAGAGAGAGAGAGAGGGGGATAGAAAGAGAGAGAGAGAGAGAGGGAGAGAAAGAGAGGGAGGGAGAAAGACAGAGAAAGAGAAATGGCAATAAAGAGGGAACTAAGAAAGAGGCAACAAAAAAGAAAGAGAGAAAGAAAAAACAAGAGACAAAAAGACAAAAAGACAGAAAGAAATACAAAAGGAAGGAAAGAACGAAAGAAAGAACGAGAAGGACAGATATGGATAGAAAAGGATAGAAAAGAACACAAAAGGAAATAGCATAGTTTAAACAACGAAAGAACAGATAGAACAAAACAAAGAGATGGGGAAGGAGAGGGAGATAAAGACGAGGGAGATGGTCATTTTCATGATGTTTGGTTGTTTCTACGAAACATCTGTCTATGCCCACACACCACCCAAACTGGATAGCTACAGCACAGCTACCAAGCATGGGGGCACGCACCGGGGCAACCGGCTCTTAAGGGCTACAGCTGCTCACACGCACTCCCCCCACTCTGCGGCTCAAGTAAGCAGAGTGCATTGTGTGCACACCACTGGGCCGTCGGGCATGAGCCACCGCACCGGCTGTTAGGCACCCAGCCACATGAATTGAAAATGCATCGCATGCCGCTGTAGCTTGCCACAACCTGCACACCGCAGTAGCTGTCATGCCTTCACCGAGAACCGCCCATCTGCATGTCGCGTGCCATGTGCCGCCCACAAGCTTGTCACACGCGGATGATTCCATCCAAGAACATCCTCACAAGCGTTTTGTTGGGCTCATAACCTATGAAGCATTTGTCTATGCCCACACAGCACCCAAACTGGATAGCTACAAGCACAGCTACCAGGCATGGGGGCAAGCACCGGGGCAACCGGCTCTTAAGGGCTACAGCTGCTCACACGCAGTTTCAACTTCGCGCTCTCATGTGTGATTTCCAGCAGACAGTTTGTTCGTGTTGACTATTTCCTCCATTGTACTCTTCGCCAAAAGATGCAGCAGTCAATTTCCGAGTTTGCTTGTTTTCATTTGTTTTCCTTTTGGCTTCCTTTTCACCAGCTAGTAGGTTGGAGGCCATCATTCGTGGGTTGGAGGCCATCGCTAGCAGGTTGGAGGCCATCGCCAGTAGGTTGGAGGCCATCCCTAGTAGCCATCAAGGCCCAAACCTTCTGGAGCTGTGGACTCCTGCATTTTGGTGGGACCCCCGTGGAGGGGGTGCCAATTGGGCCCCGTCACCCATGGACGTGGACCTGGGAGCTGTTGTCGGAAATGGAGGTTTCTACGGTCTCAGGTGCCATTGAAATGGACTTTGCTAACTATGCCCTTTCGCATCGGTGCCCTTTGCTGTCCATTGAACAGGAGATTCCTCCGGTTGTGTCTCCATGGAAATGTTCTGGATCAGAACTGGCTACAAGCTGTGGCTTGCTGGGGACCTGAGATTGTGACAATCAGCACGCCGTGCCCATCTTGGAGCGGTGCTGCTTCTCAAAGACACCATGGATGGACAGTTATTCATGCGCAGCGTTGGCATTTGCAAGATGTTGATACTTCTTGAACAAGTTGCTGGCTTTCACTCACACCCCCATGGGATATGGATTGATAAGGCCCTGTGGGCAGGGTATCAATTGAGGTTCTCCAGGGTCATTGAACTGGGTGATGTCATGCCCACAAGAAGAGCTCATTCAAGGAGAGGACTTGCAGTTCCCAGCCATCTCTCCCTGGTCCATTGATCGTGGAGTTTGATTGTATCAACAAGTGGTCAGAGGAGATTTTGGCACAGTTGGCTGTCCCGGATCAAGCCGTTCAGCAAGCGCGAGCATTTCCTCTTGTCAGGAAAACCAAGTATCAATGTCGATGTACTGCTGATGAAGCCTCGGAATCTCACATCTTCAGGGCTACTGATTCCTGTCTCCCAACCTTCATGGCACAATACGGCAGTGATCCAATTCCTTCTGTCGTCGGACCATTATTGTGGCGCGACCAATTTGATTGGGTTTCACTGAGATCTCATGTCATTCCAGAAATGGTATTGACCCTCAATGGATGGAGTTACTCACAGCTATCCCTCTCAGCTGAACAGATCATGCAGGATGCAGCCTCGGTCACTTGCTCTTGCTGTTGGCGCCAACACTGACACACATGTCATTTCAGGAGCACGAGAGCCTGTGTTGCCACCGGCCCAATTCTTATTGCGGTGGGCGGTCAGGGCTACCAGGAGCACTTTGGATTGGTTGCGAATCAATGAAGGTGTCCTTGTCGCTTTTGGGTGGAACAAGGCGCTTCTTGTCGGAAGGCCAACTGTCAACAGACGTCAGCTTTGAAACAGTACAGCTCTGGAATGCTGTGGTACGCGGAGAAGAGCTTCGCCTCATACATGGCTTCTCGGCCTCCCCCCGGATCTTGCCTGAACAGTCAGTTGCATTCCTCACCAGTCTGGATCATCGAGGTAAAGCTTATGTACTCCACCTCACAACCAGGCTTCAGGGTGGTGGCAGTGGAGGCAAGAATCCACAAACCGTGGCCATTTAGAATGAAATCGCTGGATTGTTGCTGGACCTTCAATACGATCTGACCTGGATTTCCAAGGCGGTGGACTCTTTGTTCCGCCACATCGGACTTGCTGCGGCCTCAGCTTTGCTTCGGGGGAAGGAGGGAAGTCGTGGTCAGGCCATTTTGCAAGCTCTGGAAAGTATTGGAGTTGAGATCCCACGGAAAAGTTCTGGGGCCTTGGGCTCGCAGAGCTCATCACGTCATTTGCAGGTGCAGAAGAAGAGGCCACCTGCCATTGACCTGTCAGTCGTCTCCATCATGAAAGGATTCATTGTCAATGAGGATGGTTCAGAGGCTACACAGATGAGTTCTTTTGTGCTTCAATCTTCGGGGGTGCTTCTGGCCCATTTAGAGCAAGCCCTACCATGGATTCGGGAAAACGGGATTTTGTCGAAGCATTGTGATATCCCAACAGAAGCCTGAGACCACGCTGAAGAGTCAAGCTGTCACAGTTCTCTCAAGGTGGTGCTGCGATAACCTAGCTTGCAGTAGCGTCGCGTTTATTTTGTGGCGTGAGGATTGGGCTCCTGAGGAATGGACTCAGATCCTGGACACCACGACGCCATTCGTGCTCAATGTGTTCCAAACAGCGGGCTGCGCTCAGATGATCGAGTCGACCTGGGGTCGGTCTCTTCGAAACAGTGTACTTCCTGAACACTTGATCGCCGTCCTCCAGGCCAGTGGTTTCAACAAGATCTTCTGCACTCCCAAAGCCAGTAATGGTCGCCAGGATCTTCTGTTTCGCATCATCTGGACTGATGGCGACCTGCCCAGGCTGACCACCTTGTCCAAGCAAACCTCGGGGTGCATTGGTTTGGCAAAAGGCAGACATGGCATGGGTCTTCGTTGTAGGCAGGAGGCCTGGAAAGTGATCTGCCCTTCCAAGGACATTCCCCCTGATCTTCAAGGAGCCACATGGATCAAGATTCAGCCGCTCCCATTTGGCACCTCCAAAGACATGCTGCTTCAATGGGCCCTGACATGCAAGTGGTCCATTCAGCCTATTCGTCAAGGGGGTTGCTACAGCCTGGTTGATTGCGAGTTGTGAACCGACCCCTGAGAGGGGATTGTGTTGTTCAACTCTCCTATTGCCACCGAAGGGAAGCAATCCCCAATCTCCTGTGCTTGTGGGCTCTATACACTCATTTGTACGTTAAGGTCATGCCGCCAACGTGCAAGGAGGCCACGAGCCCAGACACTGCCTTCATCGCACCGGAGCTGGTTGCGCGTCTCAAACACATTGAGGTAGTTCAAGAACTGTTTGATGCTCATAAAGTTGTAATCTTCTCCCTTCACAAGTTTCAGGGAAGTTGCTTGCGCCGAAGACTGCAATTGGAGAGCAACATCTTTCTGATGTTCGTCAAACCGGAGGCCGATGGAGTGCAATCTATTCTGCAGGTCATGCCCCTGTTGGCGGATGTTGGTGTCTAGGGGAGAGAAGTTCTTCTTGGTCTCTGTCTGAAAGGAGGAGTTGGTATAGCCTTCATAGATGCTAACCGGACTTCCAATCTTGCCCTCCTGCTCTTTGAATTTGGACTCCGTAGGTCCCGCAACACTGCGGGCAGCAGTGGCGGGCGGGAGAGGGCGCTCTTGCGTGGCCGAGTACTGAGCCCATGGATGCACCGAGCTCGAGGTCGTAGCACTCTGATGGTTATGGTGGAGCTGAGCTGCTGTAAGCGCAGAAAACCACGCGCGTTAAAGTGCTCGAAGCTGCCAGTTTGCATACCTCTGCATTGAAGCCACCCAAAATGATTGCAGGGAGGTTCACTTGTCTGACTCCCTGGGCTGCCAGGGCCAGAAGTTCGTTGTTGAAGTCCTGGGCACCAGCATGTGATTGAGCGAGACCATAAACGGTGATGATTTGCATCTTCCAATCATCAACAATGACGCGCGTGAGGCGAAGATCAATTCCAGGATCAACTGGCTTGGCGCGCCCAGTAGCTTTTCCACGCAAGCTGACTTGTTGGTCTTGTCTTGCCCTCAAAGAGGGAGCGGGCGGGGTAAAAGCTGAGAAGTAACCCAAGCTTTTCAGGTTCCTGGCAACAATCGCCTGTGTAGGCAAGGTGGCACTGGTTTCAGAGGCAGAAATGAATTGACATTGGAATTGTTGGTTGAGGTCACGAAATGTCGGAACCTTATTGGCCAGAGATGTGGGATTACACAGCCCTAGACGGATGTCATCTGGGCCTGGGTTCTGAGCTTCACCATCGAATTCCGTGTCCAAGAACACGTCTGAACAACAGCCAATGAACACGAGTTTTCCGACAATGACAACTGAAATAAACATCTGCGACCACCACAGACCAGTCAATGGAAAAAGTTCTTTCCCACAAAAAGGCCATAGTGAATTAATGCTTGCCCGGCCCCTTCACTCTGCACTCTCCTTTGTACTCTCCTTGGGCTTTTCCTGTCCAAATTTTCCTGTCCAAATTTTCCTGGAACATCTCTTGCAGCGCTGCCAGGGTTCCATGGATAGCTTGGTTCTCTGAGCGCATTGTCTTGATGACCGAGGCTTCAAGTGTGACCAAACAGATCTGGCGCAAGCCCAAGTCCTTTACCACGTTTGGCATTCCATCACACGCCTTGGAAGAGGCGGTCTCTGACATTCGATCCCCAGTACCACCCACAACACTGGAGGAATGGGGTCAACATGTTGAGCAACCTGTGGACGTGGCCTTACGGAAACTTCCTGTGAGTGCCAACTTGCCTCGACCCTTACCCAAGCAATATAGGGGAAGATGTCAGGACAAGCAGATTCTTGTGACAGCCTTGGTTCCTCGTGGAAGACATGGGGACTTTGAGCCTGCCCAGGAGGTACATAATATCCGAACTGCTAGCATGATTACTCAAGCAACTCAGACGACTCCAATCACTGCGGCGCAAGCTTGAGAAAGGTCAGAGTCGTCCAGTCGTTCGTGCATTGATTGCAACAGCAGCCGGAATTTGGATGGGTTTCCTGGGCGTTGCCAGACCCTGAATGGCTCTTTGCAGCTGAGCAACTTTGGAGGCGTGTTGTCAACCAGGCCACTGCAGCCGATTCGAAAACTTTTCAATACAAGTTAGCTTTTCGCCTGCAGCAAGATGCTAAGATTCGACGTGATAAGCTCACTTTTGCTTCTGTTCAAGGTGCCACTCCCACGTTGGAGTCTGGTCGAACAATCTGCAATTTGTGTCCCAGTCTGGTACCTGTGTCTTTGGGTGGTCGCGCAGACCCCAGCTTCCCGGCGCAATCGAGAGTATGGGCTGCCATTGAGCAAACCTTCCAAAAGAAGATCAGACCAGTGTCGTACGGCTGGTGGCCGGACCTCGACTTTCCATACTCTGCTGGTGACGCCAGCTTCGAATAGACAGTCCGTGTTCGTTCCTTCAACATGTTGCAAAAGAAATTGAAAGTTGGCAACCGAATGGCCAAAGTGCAGAAAGAGGGCCTGTGACATACGCTGGCCAATGGAATGCTACATCGTCAAGATCCCGCGTTAGCTTGCGTCCGGTCTGACATCTAGCCCCCTCCCTGCCACCCGAGCTACGGGGGCCCCTCTGCGCAAGGAAAAACCATCCCTAGTAGGTTGGAGGCCATCGCTAGTAGGTTGGAGGCCATCGCTAGTAGGTTGGAGGATGTCAGTAGGTTGGCGCGACTCCGCATTTCAAAGCAACTTCAGTAGGTATGCATGAGAGTGATCACATCACATGGCGAGTTCAATTCTGGTATGAGAGAAGCACACAAAAAGACAGAGGCAGAGCGACTTGGTGGCCAGGTGCTTCAGGATCTAAAGACGCAGGAGCACAGTGGGGGAGTAGCTGGGACCCGGGCCTTTTGAACCAGCTCACTGCAAAGCGCAAGAGTCCATGAGGTCTGGGAAACATCATTGTTTTTGCTGCGCTACCTACAACACCAGGTACTGCCAGGCAAAAACTGGAGTGAACACTTGCGGAGCCGTACAAAGCAGGAGCTCCTTCTTGCCATCGCTTTTGTGTCCAGGTCTTCGGAGCGAGCGAAAGCGAGAACGTCTGCGAGTGGTGGAGTGCAAGTCTGAGAAGCAAAGCGACAGCGACCTGGGCGGCTGTTTGAGACTGAGCAGCACGATGTTGTTTGATGCTGAGGCTTGGTTCTGGCTGTGGCTTGCTGGGTCTCGGTCTTGGTTGCCTTGGTTGTAAGGCGGGACTGCAAGCCATGGTATTTTTTCATGATCTATTTACAAACAGGGCCAAATCACATCCTACATTGTTACATACTGCACCTCTTTTTCAACAGATGAAGCTTGGCCAAGTACTTTGCTGAGTGTCACTGAGTGCCCCTCAAGTTTCTTCCCCAAGTTCCTTTAACTTGGATGTCCAGGGAATATATAATACATCATAAACATTGAGACAGGAAGTTGAAGAGTTCGGAAACACAGACAGCGCAGTCACTGCTATCCGACCGATGTTGCTCGGAGGTTGTTCTCACAGATCAACCTTGTGCGCTGGAGAACTTACACACGAACGCTGAGGCCAATACAAGCATCAGGGCTTGGGGAACTTTTGCGCATGATTTCAGACTTCTCTATATTGCGAAAGCCAGCCGATAGGCTAGGCTTGAGCTTTTAGAGCGAAAGAAGTGAGTTAAGGGGGTGTGGGGGGGGGAGGCTGCAAAAAGGCGCAATTTGAGAGGGTGAGCCCGGGGGAGAGCGCTCCAAAGCGAGGGTCAGAAAAGCAGTGAAAATGGGGTCTGGTGATGCGGGTGATGCAATGGACGCCGAGTAGTGCATCATTAGCATCACGAAGGGCTGTGGAGGCTATTTGGACAATGGGCATTGAGCACTGGAGTGAACACAGGGATCCATGTACAGGGCAGACCGCAGCCGTGCGTAGGATCGAGTTCCCAGGACAACCCGTAACTGGCGAAATCCATAGAGAACCGAAAGTGACATGAGTTCAAGTCAATGAATTTGGATTGAGTTTCGGCGGGGATGCCTGCGAGGTTGACTACATATCCGCATAGGGTTCCTGTCCCCTAGCAAAAGCTTTACATACTTGCGCCATGTCCTCGGTCGAGTGGATGCTTCTTGCGGCGTCCACACGCACCGAACGTTTTTCCGGCTTGCCGGCGCAGATAGATAGAAAGATAGATACATACATACATACATAGGTAGATAGAGATAGAGAGAGAGAGAGATAGATAGATTGATAGATAGATAGATAATAGACAAATTCTATATACTATTGACTCATGACGTCGCCTTTTTGCTGGCAGCCCTGGCCGAATCCAGTCAGCCTAGGTCCACGGCCCAAAGATCTACGCGCGCAGGTGCCGAAGTCAAGGCCTCTGAGTGAGAAAGACGCAGAGTTGATAAGAAAGAGAAGAATAAAGAAGGTGTTTGGATCATTAAAAAAACATTTTTAAATAAAAAACCGTGCTTTGGATTGAGCCAGAACGTGACTCACTCAAGTCCAGGCATGTGCATCGATAGGCGCGCAAATCCTCACTCCTTTGCTAGCCAAAGCAATTATTGCTGGACCTCCCCTTCTGCGGTCTTCTGCGCCGCGGGATCAAACGTCCGTGTCCCGGCTAAGACGTGCCCGTTCACTCTTCCACATCAACGAAGGCCGCTTCTTGACGCGCCGCAGTACGCATTGCAAACTTCAAACCCTCCAAATGTAACAACCGCATAATTGCTTCTTTTCAAACGCATGCCATACTCGCGCGCGCGCGCGGGCGCGCACGGCGACGCTCACTATGGAGAAGGTCTTCCTGCGCGCGCTCGCTAATGCTGATGTCGCCTTCCAACTTCCATAAGACGCATGCCTTCCCGCGTGTGACAAACACATGCCATTGCCTTGTGAGTGATGATGACCTACGCCAACATACAACGGATCGCATTTCTCACTACGTCTTTCATACCAAACTTATCCCAAAGCCGCCCGGCTTGCTTCTCTGCTCCCTCAATCACCATTACATACGCCCCCCGCATCCGCGGCACCGCGGCCTCGCAAGCTGCCGACCATGTGTCTTGTGCCGCGACGCCCGCCAGAAAAAGAGACACTCGTCTGGCGGCTGCTGGCTTTCGTCCCCCCTTCTCAGGCTCACATATATATATATATATGTATATACATACATACATACATACATAGATACGTAGATAGATAGATAGATAGATGGATAGATAGTTAGGTAGATAGATACATGCATACATGCATCCATCCATCCATCCATCCATCCATACATACATACATACATACATAGTTGTTTGTCCAGCTTTCACCGGAGTTCAAACATTTTGATGTTTTCAAGAAAAAGTGAAGTTTCTTTTAACCTGGATGCTGCAACCATCTACATGAAGAGGCTCAAACTTCGGAGGGCAACCTGGTGGCTCCTGAGGCGTCGATCCACGATTCAGTTTGGTCGAACACAACGGTTCGGCTGCTGTGACGTTCAGACGTCCAGTTCAGATTTTTAATGACAAAACTTGGAGATCCTATGTCCAGCAGAGGATGACTTTCACTATTAAGGCGTTGCGAGAACAGGTTCCTTCTCACAAGAGACACTTCTCAACGGTAGGCCCGGTAGGCCTTTGGCAGCATAGTTGGTCCCGAGACAGACCTCCAAAGTTTGTGACGAATTGGGCACCATATTTCTATGCGTTTTCAGAATCTTTGTTGTGCTTTGTCCGTTGAGTTTGCCGTTCACCATCAGCCATCAGCCGCCATGGTCATTGAACGATCGGCCATTAGGTCTTGCCACTCTCCTGGGGAGACAGTGACGATATAGCTGCTGTGTGCAGCAAAGGCCAATACACCAAGACCGACATGTTCTTTATTGCCTTCAATACACGCTTACTGAAGTGGTTGGGCTGTGAATGTAGCTTTTGCTGTGTGCCCACTGCTACAAGCGCTATTGGCGTGCTGACTGCGCATGCATTTCTGCAAGGCCCTTTCGACTTGGTGGTTGGCTCGGACGTAGTCTTTGCAACACGACTTGTTGAGTCTGACTGGCCTGATTCTGTGGCAATTACTTTGTTTGCAGCGTTGCAGGTCACAAGTTGCTTTAGTTTCTTTCGACAAAATGGACGGATTTTGTCTTCGGACAGGCCACTGCTGCAAACAATCCTAGCACTGATGGAGGCAGGGTCCAAAGATTGTTTGTTTGTGTGTGGAGTTTGCTTACTGAGTTTTCTTTTCGAGTCTGTTTGTTGAGCGAAAACTCAGTCTTCCAAGGATTCTGGAAGCTGCTGGCTTTGCCTGCAGAGGCGAAGACAGTGAAGAGAGTCTGGTTCTCCAAGGGAGCTCCACAGCCCATAGGGAACCTCTGGGAGTAGCTACCTCGTTTCTTCCTACTCTGAGCGACTCCACATCCCTGCCTAGCAGCCTAGTTTCCTATCCCAAAAATAGAGTTTAGCGGATCACCGAGTCATCAAAAGCCTTTAGCTTCCAGACTTGGCCTTGAGGGCATCTGCAGAACTGTGAGGCGCGATCCAGATGCTCATGACTTACTTCTTTCGAAGGCTCGCTTTCCACATCCTCTTTGTTTTTGTAAACTTTTGAACACTGGTTTGTAGAAGAACTGACTTCAAGACGGAAAGGCTCCTGAGACTTTTAAAGTGGAGGAGTTCTCGTTTGAAGGCCATGGCATGCCATGGCTGCCAGGTCAGAGTTCTCTCGTTGCTTCTGCGGAACTGTTGCTCAGGCTTGAAGGGCTTGGAGACAGCCTGCGAATTGGAGTGCTTGGGCTCATTCGACAGTACTGCAACACGACAGGTGTCACTTCGACTCTCCTGTGCCACTCCAGGTGCTTGCTCCTGCGCCTTTCTCGCCACCAGGTGCTAGCTAAACAGTCACGCAAACTGCGAGCTGAAGCGAAACACAGTTCCTTTGTTTGTGCCAGGCCTCAGAAAATGCTGAAAACACATCTTCTTCTCAGAAGAAGCACAGAACCAGATCGAAAGGTGTCAGAAAAGTTCTGAGCTTGACAGCCCACTAGCTTTTTTTGACAGATTTTCCTAGATGCCAGCTGCAGACTTTGTGGCCTTTTAATGCTTTACCTTTTGTGCTGGGTACTTGGCTCGAGTGTTTGGCCGAGCATTAGTCATTCGAAGGTTTACGAAGCTTGGCTAAAGCAAGAAAGAACTTCGCAACATATCCTCGCAGTGGTTGTGCACTGCCAATGCGGCGCCTTCTTTGTTGCGGTTTGGAGAAGCGATCTGCACACATGAGATGATGATCTATTCGGTCCGTGCGTGTCAGGACAGAGAATGGAGGAAGCTTGGCTTGAAACACTCTTGCGCGGTTTTTAGTTGTTTTCGCACCGTTGAGCTCCCGTGACACCAGGGCGACAGCACTGGAACTATGGGCTTCGCCTGTGGCTTATGGCAGATCCCGTTATGAAGAAAATCAAATGTTGCTCCACCTTCGATCTGCAGTGGGGCAAGGTGAAGAGCCCTATGCCTGCTGCAGCTTGGGCACCTTGGCTTGCTGCATATGTTGGTTGGCTTGTTGTGATGGATGTCTCTGCTTTGTCGTGCAGACAGATCTCAGGAGCTTGTGTCACTCTGGTCTGAAGTCTGGGATGCTCCTCGCAGCGACCCCAGCTGAGCCCGGCGTGCCTGCTTGGAGCCCATGGGCGCCACGCTGCGAAAGCGTGGAAAGCGCGCCGGCCTTTCTGGACCGTTTTCGACGGTTTCCGGTACTGAGGATTCCGAGGGCAGGACCAAGTTCAAGGGCCCATGCTAAGCAGAGAGGTGCGGAACTGATCAGCCATTGCGTTTTGCTTCGATCAACTTGTGAGGCAATAGCACCATTGCTGAAAATTGCGGCCTCCTGTGTGGTGGATCGAATCTCGGGTTGTTCCATGAGTTCCGGCAGGGGCTTCTGTCTCTACTTTGCTTAAGGTCCTGCAGCAGCAGTTGAAGGGCCATGTTGAAACAGTTGTTGACTCAGAGTTTGAGGAGACGACACCACAAGTGTCCTAGGTCTGACTACTTAATGTGGCTTTCTTTGCTAAGATAGAGAGACATGACCTGGAATGCAAAGTCAAAGACCCCTGGCAAAGGACTTCATTGGAAACCAGATCCGCTCTGTGAATCTGAAAACAGCCCGACTCCTCGAGCCTTTCCGCTCTCACGGTGTGACTCTCTCATTTCGTGTCCTCATGGGGTCCGGTCCAAGGGGTCCAAGGGGTCCAAGGGGTCCAAGGGGTCCAAGGGGCCGTGGCTTTCATCGGCGCCGGATGAAAGAGGTAAGCTTGGGGTGAAGTGGTGCTTCTTTAAGAGCAGGTGCTACGTTTCAAGAAGCTTGGACTGTGCATTTGAGCCTCCTTTCAAATTAATCTCAAGTTTGCGTGGATGCCACGTTTAGTCAACATTTGTCACACCGCTGCTTGCTGCTTGCTGCTTGCTGCTTGCCTGTTGCCTCGACAGTTAGGTCAAGTCTCACGGTGCTTATGGTGCATCAAGAGAGCTTCTTGCCAGTGACTTAGCCATGTCAGGATCTGTCACAAGACCTTGTTGCATTGCTTGATTTGTGTTGTATGGCTGGTGAAGTTGACACCTTAGAAGCTTGAATGCAATATTACATATATATATATACAGTGACATATAGACTAGATATTTTATATACAATATACAATCAACAAGAGCCTGTCCTTCTATGCTGGACTCGAATTGTCTCACAGTTTTATTTTCTATTTTTTGAAAGGCTGAAACGCCTCTATATATTCTAGATGACTCGTTGATTCGCCCACACTCACTCTTTCACTGTCGGCTCGCCATTTGATGCGGCTCGCTTGGTCGCTTGACCAGAAGCTTATGGTGCTTAGCGGATGGCGCTTTCAGTGTTAAAAGCTCACTTGGCTTGGTCTCGAGGTGACCCCTTCGGGACTAGAGCAATTTTGGTTCAAGCTTGTAATTTCATTCCAATCATACGACACCTATACAGATTCAGAAGCTTGTAAGAAAAAATCGATACATGCTGTATAAATCATTCCAATGCTTTGAGTCCAGACGTCAAGGGAAGATCATGCAAAACACATGCCTGAAGTGTACAAAAATCCTGACCTGTGCATTTCCATGCATGATACTCTTCTTCCTGTGCGCGGCATGGGCTCAATGAAACGACCTGCTGAAGATTCGTTCGAGCCTGCCAAGAGCTTGAAAACTGGAGATACGTGGACAAGTTTTCAAAGCAGTGACCCGCTGTATGCTTTGATGGGAGAACTTCAGAAGGCAAAGATTGTACAAGATGGAGAAGTTTCCACAGAGAATCTGAAACGCTTCTTGCACGTCATGATCGTACAGGGTGCGGCACAAAAGCCCAAAGATTGGCTTCAAGTTTGGCAGGCAATGGAGATTCCAGCCGACAGTCAATCGCGCATTGTAGGTGCTATTATCACCTTTTGCTTGGAATGTGCTCCCCAATGCAATTTGGGGGAAGTTTTGGCTGAGCTGCTTAAAGGACATGCAGTGAAGCTAAAGGCTGTGGAGGAAGCTGTGGAGATGGCCATTGGAGCAAACATCGATCCCCAGGGAGTGCTTCAGGAGTTGCTGTTGGGCATCTTCCCGAAGGGCCCTGAGTCAGATTGGGGTTGGTCCCGGATTGGTTGGGGTTGGTCAGAATGGTGGAAAACGGTTCAGAAGATCATGGCGTCGATTGATCCCACCTCGGCCTTTGTGGAATTGGGCTTCCTGCTGGAGCACTTTGAATCTAAAGGGGGAACCCCTTTGCAGCAAGCTTGGAGTAAAGACAGAGTCGAGAAGGCAGGAGGAAGACTTAAAGCCAGCACTTCTTCATAATGAGAAGTCTTAGATCAAATCATATCAAAACTAGAATCCAACTGCACCACTCACTTGCACAAAGTCTTTTGACAAACTCAGCTTACATCATTTTTTTGCGTTTGCTTTTGCGACCTTCAATCAACTAATATATGTTAAGCTTCCCTAAACATCTAGGAACCACATCATTAGCGTGACCTATCCTGCGTCCAGTTACTAGAAACTTAAGTAGCTAGGAGCTTACTCCCTTAATTAAGTAGGCGCCTACTTAAAACCTTTTCTGAAACGAGTCTCCTTTTTTCTACGTATCATCGGCATGTCGCTGACTGGTCGCAGATCCCTTTTTTCGGTCGTGTTGGCGGTTCGTGTCAGGTACGAGAACTGCTTTGCGAGCTCGGCGGCTTGAAAGATGATGAGCTGGATGGCTGTTTCAAAGCGGCCCTTAAAGGGTGATGCGGTACGGCGGTGCACAGCGGTGCACAGTGGTGCACAGCGGTGCGGTGTGCAAGAGGGAGAATCAAATTCATCAATTCATTTGTGCTGAGCTGCAGAGAGAATGCTCCTAGCTCAAAAGGCCCGAGTCAGTCATTTTGCACTGCTTGCAGTGGAGGAGAATACGATACTATCCTCACCACACTATTAACTAGAGCTTGATTTGCATCGTACACATCCACCTGTCTATGAAGGTTGCTGCCATCGATGGTGCGCATGGAGCTGCCTTGCTCTTAGCTTTGTTTCTTAAGCTTCCTATCGTCGCTGATGCCTTTGCGTTTGTGTGTGTGAGCTGATTCAAAGGATCCTCATGGACACCCTGTCGAATTCGTTCGAGAGCTGACGAAATCAGCATTCATGACAGGACACCAACAGCTTTCAAATTGACACTCGCCTGCATCGCATGTCCAATGTACTTGCAGATCGCAATTTCGCCAGCTGCTCACGTGTGGAGGAGATGGCGAATATACTGAGGGTCTTTCAGAGGCAGTAGACAGTGAACTTTGTGATGCTTTGAGTCCTATTACAATGTAGTAATAGTTCGTAGTCGTAGGCATCAAGCTTTGCTTACACGAACCTTCCTGAGCCAAGAGTAAGTTATGCAGCTATGCATGATTTCATGGTATAAGGAACAGATATCGAAAGTTCAAACTTTTTCTTTACATGAGGCAATGGCCTCCATCGAGGATAGATCCAGAGCGTATGTTTTAGACCTAGACACATGTTTATAGTGGTCAGCATTGATTCTGTTATGTACGCAGGCGCAGTTGGACCAGCTCTTGGATTCTTTGTGTGCAAATCAGCTGGAGACGCAGTGAATCCGATCTCCACTTTTTCAACACCCAAAGATGGCTTAGTGATCTTCATCTGGCTTGTGGCAGGGAAATTGGCAATTGTTCTTTGGGTTCTGAGTGGAGAGAGATTTTGATGTTCTCCTGATCCTTCAGGAGCAAGCGGCATCCCTTGTGAAAGACCCTACTGCTAGAAACCTAGCAACACAAGATACTGCTCAGAGGCCGAACTGTCTACTTATATAAGCAGGATGAATTGCAGGATGATGCTGATGAACAGTCATTGTTTTCTGCTTTCCCCAGATAGCGTGAGCTATTGGGGTTCTTACTTCAAGTATAAAAAAAGCTGGATGTGTGCCTGGGTCTGGTGCCGCTGCAGTGTGCTGCTGCTGTGTGCGCTTGGGCTTGGGTCCTGGTGCCACTGCAGGGTGCCGCTGCTGTGCGCTTCAGGGCTTACGTGCTGGTGCCGCTGCAGTGTGCCGCTGCTTTGCGTGCTTGGGAGGTTGGATGCTGGTGCTGTCGCAGGGTGCCACTGTTGTGTGCGCTTGGGAGCTGGTGTTGTTATAGGGCGCCGCTGCTGTGTTGCAAGTTGGGAAAGAGATGCCTGTGCACGCTTTGGAGTATGGGTGCTGGTGCCGCTGTAGGGTGCCACTGCTGCACTGCCCACAAAATCTTTTGCTAGCTGGGGTCTAGGCTGGCGTACTTATATAGTTACTCCCGAAAGCTCCTACGCAGGATTCTTCATAAAGAGCTGCTGGCAACCTTATTTCCCTTTCCATTTGTCATCAGTATCAAGTTGTCATCATCATCATCATCATGATCATTTCAGTATCATCAAAATGCAGAGACAACAATTCATTGCCGGTGTAGGGAACTTCTATATACACAGCACTTACTATTTCCACAATCTTTAGTAGTTCTCTGGCAACGGGGCGGCCCGGCCCGGCTCACGAAACATCACCCTTTGCTGAAACCCTCCGTGTCGGATGCGCCAATCTGGACCAAACTGCCGAAGTGTCGAACTGTCCTCAACGCTGGATGATCTGCCAAAGTGCGAAACTGGGGTTGAACATCTACGATCGTGATGTCACAGTGTGAAGCTGTTGTAGAAAGGCTATGATTTTGAGGCCAAAGTTTGAAACAGTGTTGGAAACAGTGTGCTAAAGTGTGAGATTGTCGTGGAAAATGGATGTTTGGGATGTCAAAGTGTGAAGCTGTCGTCGAGAGTGGACGTTTGTGGTGCCAAATCGTGAAACTGTCGTTGCGTACATCACCGTGATTAGTAGCATGCACATCACACCTTTGAGAAACGTACATGCAAAGGAGGCCTAAGGAAAGAAATTGGCTGGGTAAAGTAAGTATGCGTGTAACTTAACTATAGAGGAATTCTGCAAAAATTCTACAGATAGAATGCCTGACCCATATTTTTTAATGATTTCAGGTGGTAGGCATTCTAACCGGGTGCCATTTCCGGCATTCTAAGATCCCACGTTGCAAATGGGAAACTGGCATTCTATCTTTCCGTCCGTCGATATACAAACACCACGACCAAGCAGGTATACATCCACAGCCAGTGGATGCTCCCTCTCTGCTGTACAGCTTCGTTGGACAGAGTAGCGTCAGAGAGCTTTGTCCCTTTGCAGCTTACATGTCGAAAGACAACCTCTGAATCCAAGATGCGCACACACCCGTCGTCCTGACCATCATCATCATCGTCGTCGTCGTCGTCGTCGTCATCATCATCCTTCTTCACGACAGCATCTTCACATAGCACGTCACCCCATCATGTCTCACAATGTGACATCATTCTTCATCATATCTATTGTGCATTAGTTTCGCTTTCCGGTACTTATCTGATCCTTGCAGGCCGCAGACAGGATTTGACATAGAAGCCGTTTGTGGTGTTGGAAAGTTGTCACACACGATTGGTGCCAAAGAAGTCTACAGTCTAAGGCCACTTTGAAATCTGCGCTGGAAAAAGTTTGTTCATCGGTGCGGAACTATGCTCAAAGAACAAGAACAACTCAGAACCACACCATTGTGTTTTTGTAGAAGGATGCTGTTGTCTTTGAGGTGCAAGAAGTGCTTGCAAACCCGCCAGAGGCTGGGGATGTGCTGCTTGATCGGATGCTTCGCATGGTAGGGGAGAAACGTAGCAGGGTAGCATTTTTAGAAGGCTTAGTTTGGAGGTGTTCCAGAAGAGCTGAGAATGACGTGTTCTATACCATTCTGACGTGATTGCTGCTGCCACTACTTGCGTTCCACTTATATATTAGGACCCACTTCTCAGGATGGGGACATGGCCGGAGTTGCAAACCGGCTCCTTCTGGTTCAGCGGTTGGAAAGAGCTGCAGAGGACAGAGCCAGCAGAGTTAGTTGAGATACTGAAACACATTTGTTTTGAGATTTGTTTCTTCCTACCTACATTTGAGGTGATTTATGAAAGGAGGTCATTGTTGGGCAAAATCCGCAAATTGCTCGTCCTGAGGATGCATCGGCCATTCTACACAAGGAATCTTCCGAGGAGAGCTCACAGATGGAGAGCTCCCAGGTGGAGACCGAATCCACCACTGAGCCCATGGACGAAACTGATGGTAAAGAAGATGAGGAAAGTCATGAGACGCAAGAGGCGGGGATGAAGATGTTGTCACACAGGGTTCATCGCTGACAGAAGTTGTTTGTGATTTCATTGTGACAGACAGACTTGAGGAGTTGCTGACATGCCAGAATTCCAGTCAGACTTGCATTTTGTTGTGGCTCCAGTATTCCTACCGTTGGCAAACATGTTTATGAAGCCCATGAAACTTTAGTTTACCACATTTGAAATCCGTTTGCTCAAGGAAGGGTTTGTTGCTTTACAAGGCAGTCTTTCACCAGCAATACCCACATATTAAATTCTGTGAATGGAGGGCCAGATGGTATTTTCTTGAAACCCTAAAGTGAGATAGCATAGGAGCAGAGTAGGAAAAGCAAGCCACGCAGGCAAGGTAGAACCATTTGAAGCATGTCTCCGAGACTCCGCAGCATGTCTGAAGCCAGCTAGCTGCCCTGATCTAAGCAAGTCTTTTGAGCATGTTCTGCACCTACGGATGGTGTTCCCGCTTTTCCAAGACTTGTCGGTGACACAATCCGTTGGCCTCAAGAAACCTTGCATTGCGTGTCGTGTCGCTTCCTGCAGCCACACTTGTTCAGTTTTCGGAAGCAATGGCGCTCCTTGCAGGTTTGCCAAGGGCATCCCCCATTCAAGTGCAGTCTGCCAGGACTGCACTAAATGAGCTTCGAAGTTCCAAATCCGGAGCAAAAGTGGAAGGCACGCGAGTTGGACAGGACCGGACTTTTTGCGGTCATATGACCGAACATTTGTTGAAACAACGTTCGCTACTAGGAACAAGTGCATCGCTACTAGTAACAAGTGCCTTGCTAGTAACAAGAAGCTAGTAGAAACCAGAATTTGTTCCCAACCGGACTTTCCTCATCTGACCGCCATTGACACTCCTTTTTTTGGCGGTTCGGGCGGTTCGGGCGGTTCGGCTTGTCCAGGCCTGAACACGCGAGCGGTTCGTGCCTCCATCCCCTTGGCGGGTGCCTGGCTCTCGCTCCAGCGTGCCCGCAGCCGGTCGCGCGCCCGATGCGCGCGCCAAGCGGAGTCTCGGAAGCCGAAGGCCGGGAAAGCGAAATCGTGGAGAGCCGGTCTGAGGCAGCTGCAGGTAGATTCTTTGGTAGCTTTGGATTGGATTGGGATTGAAGTAGCTGGTCTTGGATGGCATGAATGCCGGAACGTCGCTAGAATAAGGCATTGAGCATCTAGCAGTAGTTTCAACGTCTCGCGTCTTGAACGCCAAATGTTTGATAGATCCCACAGATGCCTGAGGTGGCAGTGGTTGGCGCAGGCTGGGGTGGTCTGGGAGCAGCAAAAGCTCTTTGTGAAAATGGCTGTGACGTGACGCTCTTTGACGGGGGTCAACCTGGTGCTCCCATGGCCACACCTTCTGGAAAGCCTTTTGAAGCCGGAACCCGGGGCTTTTGGCGAGATTATCCCAATATGAATTCCATCTTAGCTGAAATCGGGCTGAATGAAGCGGACCTTTTCACTGACTTCACCGAATCCGCCTTCTACTCACCTGATGGTCTTGAAGCGACTGCTCCGGTCTTTGCTGGAGCGCCAGAGCTTCCCAGCCCTTTGGGTCAAGTTTTAGCGAGCTTTAGCAGGTTCAAGCGCCTGCCTCTAAGTGATCGACTCTCCATCACTGGACTTTTATTGGCCATGATTGACTTCACACGGGATGAGGAGACCTTCAAGGCCTATGATCGAATGACAGCACATGAGCTCTTCATTCGAGCGGGTCTCAGCCGTCGCCTGGTCGAGGACTTCCTCAAACCCACCTTGTTGGTGGGATTGTTCAAGCCACCCGAGGAACTCTCAGCGGCCGTGACCATGGACCCGTGACGGCAGCGGCGGCACTTCCCGTCCCGTCGAAGCGCCACCGTCGTGACGAGGTTTGCCTGTCGATTTCGCCGGTCGTTTCTGAGTCGGGAAGTGGTGTGCGTTTGCTGCGTGTCGGTAGCTTTGGGTAGCGACGAGCTTAAGAAAAGCAGTCGATTCCCTTAAGAATCCTGCAGTGGTTTATATACAGTAGAATTTCGACAGAGGAGTTCCCACGCTGAACGAGGGTTGTAGTATTACCTCGAAATTCTATTGAGAAGGAGAGCTGGATTCGTCACATTTGTAACATTTTCCTGGACAATTCCGCTTCTGTAGATTTCACAGTCTCAATGGAACCAATCAGGAACTGCTGTACTTTTACGCTTTGGCCCACCAGACTTCCTTTGACGTGCGCTGGCTGAAGAAGGGTACCGTCAGCGAAACCCTGATGAGTCCCGTCTTGAATCATTTGGTTGAAAAGTACAACTTGGAGGTCCGAGGGAACACTTTTGTGGAAGGCTTGGATGTGAAGAATATGAAGGTCTCAGGCCTTCGATATGCGATGAAGGGCGGTTCCAAAGGTCTTCTGGAAGATTTGGATGCTGTCGTCCTGGCCTTGGGCGCCGGAGGGCTCCGGGCCGTCTTGCGCGGCAGCCCGGAGCTGGCGAAGGTGTGCCCCACGTTGTCCGCCGCGGGAGCCCTGCGTGGTGTCGATGTCATGTCAGTGCGACTGTGGTTTGATCAGACCATCCCCACCGAGACTTGTCACACTTGATGACTAGTTGGCCTCATTTTTTGGAAGATATATATTTAGGGAAGCATGTTCATTTAGCTTGGTGCAATGTTCCGAGGAGGGGCAAAGTGTGTCTCCAGCATTTCTCTTTAGGTTCCTTCTCATGATTCTCTTGATGTCAGGAAACTCCTGCGAACGTCTTCTCGCGCTTCCGGGGACTGCGGGGTGCCGGAGGCACATTCTTCATGCTGGATCAGTTGCAGCCCGACAAGGAGGCTCTTTGGGCAGGTGAACCGCAGGGTTCAGTGGTTGCATGTGACTTTTACAATGCTGGTGCTCTTCTGCCACTCTCGGATGAGGACGCTCTCGGTCAAGGAACAACGTACTTAGAGAATTGACATGCCATTTTTGGATTCAAAAAGAGTTCCGTTCAGTTCACACTATTCCATTATTGTTCGAGGACATCATCCGTTTGCTCAAGGAGGAACTCCTGCCTTCAGCGGTTCCTGCTTTTGGCAATGCTTCAGTGGTGGACAGCCACGTCATGCGTTTTCCTGCTGCTGTGAGCTGGTTCTCGCCTGGCTCATATGAATCGAGACCTACTTTGGAGACGCCTCTGCAGAATCTGGCTTGTGCAGGCCCGGCGTCTTCCTTTCATGTCCAAAAATAATCCCAAAGGACCAGTTGGACCACTTGCAACGAACTGGATGTTTTTTGAGGTGATTGGGTGCGTTTGGGAGATCGCGAACATGGAGCCAAAGGTCTGTGCCAGGAACGAGCACTGGTGACAGGGCTTGAGGTGCATCTCCCAGTTGACACCGGATGAAACAGGATGAACCGTGCGGACATTCAAGCCCACAACCCTCTTTCTTTTCCGTTTCAGTCGACTCATACGCCACTCCCGCTCTCCTTTGTTCATGGGTGAAGAGTCGGCCGTGGGCCACGGGTGCGGACCCCTCCAGGCAGCAAACCTTCTCGCGCGGAACGGAGTTCTGGGAAGGCAGTGGCTCGGTCACGACGGGTCTGACGGGTCACCCGAAGAACGGTGCCACAGGACTTTCGGAGCGACCTCTTTCTTTGGAATTGATACGACCTGAAGAAGAGGAGTGCTTCCACTCAGAAGAAGCTCTAGCGTCATAAGACTACGACTGCAGATGTGTACATGTCAAACGATTCAACATGCAATCAGCAGAGGTGGATTGTTTAATCTTGGCAAGTGGGTCAGCCACGTCTCCGATCATTTGTTATTGCGACACCTTAGGTTTGACCGCGAACACGATGTTATCCCAGTGAGGGACGATGAATCTCGACAAAGAAAGGGCTCGGTCCTTTATTGGGCAGGACATGAGCAGCTAAACTAAGAGGAGTATTGCACACTGGATTCTAACTGACTCGAATTTGATCACAACCAGTGGAAGAAAAAGATAGAGGCCGAGGAATGCAGCACGCACGCATCATGACAACATCGAGTGCGAAAGCTGGACAAACTGCTCGTTTCAACGAAGGCTGCTTGCATAGGTGAATATAATTTCCAGAAAAATAACAAAAGCGTTCATGTGTGGAAAGGTTGAGTCGATGTCAGCTCCCTGCTTCAAATTTGTATCCAAGGAGCTCCAAGTTCAACTCGGGCGTGCTGCCAACAAGAGTGTGGCACAATTGCAACCTGGCTATATATAGCCCCAAACCAGCTCTATATATTTTCATATTGAGTCTGCCAACTCTTCTTCTGGAGTGAAAAAAGAGAGGACGGAGAGGGAGGATGTCAAGTAGCCGTGGGCCTCTTTTTTTGTCAATGATGCAGAAAGCCGGTGCGTCATGTCGGCACGAACCTTCATGCCGAAAAACCTGATGCAGAAAATGCAGAGACTTGGCGTACTACAGAGATGCGACAGACCGACCGCATGAGACGCCGACGTGCGCACGAGTTGAGGTTGCGGCCCTTTGGTCTCTCGAGTCCATGGGTGCGCTAGTCCAGTCGTGGATGAGAAGAGGATCATTTTCTGCCAGGCAGTAAAGCTGTGTGAGCACACTGACGGGTCACTGACAGCCCTGAGTGGCCCAGAAACTGTCAGCTGCAGGGCTGTTTTCAGAACAGCTGAGCCCTTCAGATTAACAAGACTTTTCCCAAGCACTGGTGTGAAACAATGCGCAGATACAGTATAGTATAGTTTCATTGCGATCGTATGATATCGCTGCTCTTCTTGAGAGAGAACTGTTATATAATTTGTGAGGATACGGAAAATGTAAAGTTACAATATTCAATTAGACGGGCTCAGATGTTTCAATTTCTAGCTGCAGCATGAAGTGTACAGCGAGAGGCATGCAAACCCAGTTTGTCAGCAACAGTCAAAGGCCAAGTAGAGTTGCCTGGAGGATTTGAAGACGAGATGTGCCTTGTTTTGGATGTTTAATTTTGTGACCGTCGCTCAAGCTACAAGCTATATCATGTTTTCATCTCCGGCCTGCACTCCAGCCCAGGCCTGGACCAGAGCTGATGGTGGCAACAGATTCGGATTTGGATACTGCACCGTCGTTGGCTCACTCAGTGTGTGCGAGCTCTTGAACACACGATTGGTCGAAACGAGGCGTCGTTTCTTGTTGTTTCTTGCCTCGTTTCTTGGCGAAGCGGTTGTCGAAGAAAATGACGCATTGTTCTTTCGTTTTCGTGATTTGGACAACAGTTGGCACATTGATCTTTCGTTTAGCCGTTGTTCACTCGCACAGTCCTGGACTTCTAAGCAAACAGCCAAGTGTGAGACACTGGTTCCCATGCTCGGTGAGGTCAGCTGAAGTGGAGAAAACAGAGCGGAAGTGCTGGACGGACCGTGAAAGCCAAGCGGAAGTGCTGGACAAGTCTTGAATTTCTTGAATGCGGACCCGCAGGTCTTTCCCAAAAACAGCGGCAGGTATGTTTGGAAGATCATATTCATAGTCCCCTACTAGCGATTGCCATGTTGAAGCGCCAATTGCACTGACGGATATTTCTTCGGTTTCGGTGCAGTATCTTTTCCTGCGAGGCGACCGAAAAGGAGAATCCTTTGAAGCGGACGAAGTCCCAGGTGGCCGCCAAGCTGAAGGCCGCCGCAAAAGGTGTTAAGATAGGCTCAAACCCTTGGTGGGTATAGGCTCGGTATGAGCATTCCAGATGATCTGGCAAACAGGGCTTATGAAGTTCTGCTGCGAACGGCTTTGACCTACAACGTTTTGAGTCGCGGGCCTTTTGGCAGTCCTAACAAAACTGCTTCGCTGATTGGTGGACTGTTTCGGCTCAAAGGAATTGCCCTTTCCATCGCTGCTCCCATAGTTCCTAGCAGGTCAGCTAGCCACATGTCTGAATTTGGAACTTGCCTTCTCTTGTGTGAATCTCATTAAGAGAGAAAAGACGATGGCAATACTTGTCACAAAGGCAAGAGCGAGAAGAATGCGCAATGGAATCACAAACCAACACAATTGCTCCATCGCTTTAATCTTAATCTGAACACACCGAACACGTTGTTCTTTTCCTGCTTTGATGCCCTGGAACTTTTGTCTGAGGAGAAAAGGTGCCGCCATGCCAACTCCTGCGGACAAGAAGAAGATCGTGAAGAAGCGCACGAAGAAGTTCACACGCTTTCAAGCTGATCGCTTCAAGCGGATGAACCCAGCTTGGCGTAAGCCTCGCGGCATTGATGGCCGCGTGCGCCGTCGCTTCAAGGGCTCCACCCTCATGCCAAAGATTGGTTATGGCTCCGACAAGAAAACGTGCGGAACTCGAGTCGAACATGTCACGAAGTGGTCAGAGATGACCGTGTTTTGATTGTGACCGGATGAGATTTGTCGGTGAATCAACTCTGTGAATTCGGTTGGAGGCCATTGATAGTAGGTTGGAGGCCATTGTTTTCTCCTCCAAGGCGCTTTCGTTTGAAGAATGGCTTCTACAAATTTGTGGTGTCTACGCCTCAGCATTGAGCGTCTACAGGGTGATGGGCTACCAGACCCTCAGGTTCTCTGGACCCGAGTCTCGGTGCGACTGGGATGTTGCTAAGGCGTTGCCCAGCAGATCTTGAGATGTTGCTGATGCACAATGTGCCACCTGCATGTCCGGATTGGACTCTCAAATCGTTTTGCAGTTATGACTCGGCATTTGCTTTTCTCTCACGCAGAGTCTAGGGATGCATAGAGATCAAGCATGTTGCACCCGAAGAATCCGTGTGACCCGTTGGAACACGTCCGTTGTGTCTTGGACCTCCTCCGTGTCGCTTCGTCAACGAGTAGAAAAGCCTTGCGCCGGCGGGTCGCCAGGAGAAGTATGCCGTGGAGGTTGCACACAACATTGGTGCCAAGAAGTGTTCGCCCAAGGGAGTTCATGTAGCCAGCCAGCCGGAGTTGAAGCACCTCTTTAATATGGAGGGGTTTCATTCATCAAGAGTCTACATTCTCTGGAGTTTGTCCTGGAGTCTTTGTCCTCGCTTTGCCACGCTGCAACTCTGGCGATCGATGAGGCGCAAGGAGATTGTGGAGAGAGCAGACCAGCTGAGACTGTATGCCATGCTCCAAGCGATGACGGGGACCGGACCGTTGACCAAACAAAGCGACATACCGTTGAACGAAACAGCGTTTGAACATATACGATGTTGGTCTACCCGCATCGCATTGGAAGGCCGCTCCACCCAAAAGGTCGAGATTGGCCGATCCTGGTGGGAAGTAGCGAAGGTGAAGGTTTGCAGGGTATGCTTGCTTGAATAGCTTTAGAAACGCTCATCCCTGAAGTCCCTGGACCTCTGCTCTCTGGGATACAGCTTGTCTTCTTAAAATGCAATACTTGCATTTGTTTGGCGCATGACGGCCCTGTCATTGCCGGTCTTTGCTTAGTGCGGAGTTGTCTGAGCCGCGATGCCAATGCTTGTTCTCAGGTCACCAATCGCAATGCTCGTCTTCGAACTGAGGAGCAAGATTAGACTCCTCGATGGGATGGGATTTCATGGGACGGATGCGATGGGACGGATGCGATGGGGCAGAAAAGACGACCGTCTCTGTGTGGGTCTCGACCGCACCATAGATTGTATGGATGATATGCCCAGGTGAAGCATGGTGCAACCGCAGGCAATTGGCTCCAATACAGACATGAGAATCCCAGACTGATTGCTGTCAAGATTCATATTTGAAGAGTTGGTGATGTTCATCGGAGGATACAACTTCTTCATAAATCAAGCGCACAGCATAGAAATACTTCTATGCAAACGGACATCTCTTTCCTTCCATCTCTCGTGTCCACAAAGCATGGATTTTCGAGAGAGGGCAGCTTGGCAACCAAGATACCTGCAGTTGGTCACACTGTCACGCGGGTATTTTGCGGGTTATTCACATCGCATTGTTCGATTAACTAATTCGCTAAGAATCGGGGTGCAAGGTACAACAATCACTTCCAGACTCTGGAATGAAGATAATTTTACTTTTCATGCAGTTGGAATAAGACGCTTCAGCTGCCGCCAGAATCAATGCACACGAGTTTCATCGACTGTATCGGTGAATCTGTGAAACTTGGAGGTGACGCCTCCTCATTGCAGACTTCAGCTTTGGTTTGCCTTGGTGATAACTGGCACGCTTATACATGAGAGGAAGTTTGCCTGCGTGAGGAAGTTTGGCCAACGTGAGCAGAATCTTACGAGAGCGCAAGAACGCAGTAGAGGCAGCAGAGCCAGAACGGTCAGTGTACATTCCATCTCTGTATGCCGGATCTTCTACTGTGATGGATTGTCCTGTCTGAGAACTAGGGATACAACAGCAATCAAAGATCGAAGAGCACACTGTTTCGCCTGCAACGTCTCATCTAGCTGCTAGCTTCTCTTTTCTAAGAGCCAGCAACGACGATGTCCTGCTCAGACTCCACGCGCTAGCAATGGGTTTGCAGCGGGCCTCACGAAAGAAAACGTAGCGAACCATGGGCCTTTTTCCTGAGATCTGGGTCGTGTCATGAGCTGGACAAAATTCCACATGCATTGCATTTCGATTCGAAAGCATGTCAGTTCTTCCCAACACTGCACCTTTGCTACACAAAACAGAGAGTCACACACAGCACTACTTCTCAGACACGCATGACTTGAATTCAACATACTGTACGAGGTGCATCAAAGACGGTTGACTCGGTTGAAGAGGATTGTTCACAACACAACCCGTCCACAACTGGCGTTTCATCCCTCCACAACAAAACGGCGCACGGTTTCGCGTTTCGTCCGACCTGCTCCCCCCTCGCCTAGCTCCAAACGGCGTAACGTGGCCTGCGCCAGGTGGGATTTCTGATACCTTGGTCACAGGCGAATCGACATGGACCGAGCCAGTTTTTGGTTTGCGAACAAGCACCTGGTTTTGGCGCCTGGATTTTGTATGACCTGGTGCATGACTTGCAGTCCAACCCAGCCCTGTCGAAAGATTCCTTGTTTGATCTTTTTCGTTTAGGCAGGGAAGCCTTGTGAACTGCGGCCAGAACAATTCCGATCGTCGCTGGGCTATGGGGGTGAATGGTCAAAGGAGCAAATGGACCATTGTCGGGACGGCTTTCTTCAGACATAGGACACTGATAGAAGAAACACGCTGTCCCAACAAATGCTGTCTAAAATTCCTTGCTCTCCTGAAAAGCCCAAGTGAGGGCACCCTGACTCAGCTCCCTCCAGAGAATGCACTGTTGCAGGGTGAGAGGTGCGCGGAATTTCTGTAAGAATTTTGCACATGACCGAGACATACCGAGACTATTCCGTAACTTGAATCTGCAAGATAAGAGCCAGCTCACTCACGATACGGACACCCATGAGTTGTTTGTTGTGGAAGGCACATGAAGACACATTGTATCTGATTCCAGAAGCACTTTGAATGACACTGCCAAGGTCCCTGGTTCTTCAGGGTGTTCAATTTGATGGTGCCTATGCGTTGAGCCTCCACGAGGGCCTGGACTGTTTGCGCGAGATCACGACACCACGTGGTCCGGTGAACCAGTCGCTGAATGCCATTGCAGACTTCTATGAACAGCCAGACACCCAGTCGAACACAGCAGACTGGACGCAGGGCTTAGGGCGAAGCCGGGCTCCCCTATCGTCGAACTTTCTTTCCGGAGGTGCTTGGTTACTTTCTCAAGTTGAGACCCAACTTGTAGCTACATCCTACCTGGAAGTCAAGCTTGAAACTAAATGAGACCCAACAAAGTTGAGATGTTGTTCACCACCGCGAACGATGCAGCAAATTCACGATCGTCCTTTGAGCAGCCGAATGTTGGCTACTGCTGGCCGCTGGCCGCTGCTGTTGCTCCCACATTTCATTCTGCAGGTTCTATGCATTCAGATATATTTGCATTGATCCTCCAGCTTCCAGCCAAAGCCAGGCGGAGTTACTTGGAGAGGGTTTACTGCTATCATCTGCTATCTATATACTATATACATATAGACTTTTTGGAAGGACAAAAGGAACGCAACGCAGTCTCGAAGTCCACCAGCTGGTATGACAGGGAGACAGGGATCAACAACGATCAACAACGGGGACTTGTGGCCTTCCGCCGCGACACGAGTGACATGAACGACCGAGCGACACGAACTCCCGAGCGAGTCGACGGATTCCCTCAAAAAGTGAATGAAAGGGGATCCCAAACAGTCAGAACGACGGAACTTTGTGTGCGACACGGACAACAAGAAGGTACATCAACCAAACTTAAGTTGGACCAAGTAACAGAATTAGAAGACTCACTTGCAGTTCTTGTCCAGTTTGAGAGCAATTAAGGGTCTCGACAGGCGGCGCCGTTCGATTTTGGAGTTTATGGCAGTCCTCGAGGCGGTGGATCATCTGCTAAGGCTGGACCCGGCTGGACCTGGCCCTTTTCAGAAGGTAGAGCCAGGTTAGAGGCGCTTGTCCACTTGGCTCATGACAACAAGAAACCTTAGCTAGCTAAGTTTGTTTTGGCTTTAGCAAGCCAGGGGAGGCCCGAGACCAACACAGCGATCTTGTACTGGAACCTGTTACCGTTGTGAGCAGGCATCGATAAGATAACGTTAAGCTGGCCGTTATGGTTCAACATCGTTATATAAACCTTTTGCAAGAGGACAATAGGATTACG